TATAAGTATAGTTCTTAATCCTTCTACGCTGGTAAGTATACTCGCACAACTTGAGATTTGTTACATCTCTGACTGAAATGAAAGAATATACTATCTACATCTAAATCCTTAATAACGCACTAATTGCGTCATGATGTATTCCACGGAACTCAATTACCATCACTCAAATCCAAACCGATGACACTTTATCCTGATACCTATGGCCTTGTATCAAGCTTCAAAGGATAACTAAACATATAGCAAAGTAAATTATGTATTCCGCTAGAAGTTATCCACAAAATTTTAACACCGTTATCACATGTAGTTTACGCCTGTTTGTTATGACAGCAATGTTGCCTACACTGTGGCGAGAGTGGATTAGGACTATCTAAGACTCTCATAGTCTGGCGACCTAGAAGGTGAATTTCAAACGTACTCGATATTTTCATCATAAACAGATCTATGTGACTATTCATATCTTTAACGTACTGTAGAAGCTGACACAATAAGGGAGGATGATATCGCAAATTGGCTGGTCTAAAATTTAATGTGCCGGCAGTGCAAAGCGTTCCACGAAGCCAAGACGTCGAATTTGGCGACATCAGATAAAGATCTCATTGAAGTCCAATTTAAGACAGAGCAAAGCTTCCGTCATTGTAAGCTAAGTCATTGGCGAGTTTATATTTGCAATTAACAAGGCCGATCACAAACTATTACACTCGATAATTCTACACAAACATAAGCCACTTTAATAAAGTACTGATCACGCAAGGTGGGACTTGCTGCTATGAAGTATGGTTTGGGCAACTTTGGTAGTCTTTCAAGTCCTTCGCAGCCACGCACTACCTGCAAAAATTCCTTAGCTTTTGCAGCGTATCTCAAAAATTCAACCTTTTGGAGAAATGAATGAGTTGGAGTTTCGACGCTAATCATCTAATTCAGATCAAAGGGATCGTTTAAAGCCCCACAACGCGTCCATGAGCGTCCTGGCTGGCAATCGTCGTGCGTAATCCTTCAAAAGCATGTCGTCGGGTTGCCATAAGACCTGAGCTTTGAAATTTATACATAAAGAGGGTATCGCAAGAAAAGCGATTGGCACGCTTGGTACTTTTTAATGTAGTAACGACAAAACGTCTCATGAAGTAGGTGTTTCTACATCGGCTTCGGCGAGATAATGAAGCTTTATGTCGTGTCGCTCTTTCCAAAGTAGTCGATTAACTCCATTCTGCGCCGGGTCCAGCAAAGTGGTCAGTGAGACACCTAGGATGGATGGTCTGAGAATTATAACATCAATTTGTTCCAAGTGAGATTCACTTCCATCACATCCACAAGATCTATCCAGAGTGGCTATTCCCTCCATGCATCAGACCATTTTTGCTTAATTGCTTCAGCATTTCGAAGATTTGTAGCGTCGGTCGAGGAAGGAGCTAGCACTGTGCTTTCAGGGGTTTCGATGATATTTTCCACAGGATCGGCCGCCAACTTTTCTGCTGGGCAATTGTCAAGATCAATTTCTTGATCAAGACATTCTTGAAATAAATGTTAAACTATCATCCGAAAGATATTCAAATACAAAAAAACTATCAAATACTTGTAGTAAATAAATATCGATGATGCAAACTGCGATAAGAGCAGCACGCGGCAGATGGTGTGAAAGCCGGAACGAGTCATCAACCTGTTGCATGTGAGGTTTCTTCGTGACCTCGTCCGCGACAGGGGAAGTACAAATGATCTGAATTGTGGTATCCGAGAACATTTTCTCGATGGCTTTGCATCACGATATTGCTCGTACATATTGTGGGTACGACTATGCGAATCCAGATGCCATCACCCGATATATTAAGCATAAGAGGCAAAATAGATCGATTGAATACTTTGACAAGTCTTCGTCATGTGCAGTGGGCTGCTCAGGGATTGAATTATCGAGTGAAGCTTCTCATTTAGGTCTAATGTGGTAAGCTATACAACAAATGACACCACGGTCACAGTATTTTGCAAGCGTTAGTGAGGAGAGACATGAGTGAAGTCGATGGCAAGCAAACACTAATAAATGGTCGCTGGGAGGACACCAGTACAAATTTGCTATACGAAGAAGATATGAATACTTTATATAATCACAATATCCATTTGGACAACTTTTACTTTACTGAAATTCTTTCTTAATATCCAGAATCTCGTTTTTTATCTTTGTGCAGAAGAACCAGTAAACGAAGCAAAACTTTAGGGCTTTGCGAATTTAATTGAAAGATCTGCTTGCTCGTCGGTAAGTTAGACAGGTTTGACACACAAGAACGGATTCGAAAATAATCAAAACAACATGAGTCTTTATTATCGGTTAAAACGCTAAAGTGTACTACCGCGGAATGAAACAGAGAGATGACTTATCTAGCTTTTCATGAAACACTCTGTGACTTGTCCACCAACTTCCGTTTGGCGATTCCTTGAGCCTTTTTGCGTTTTTTTGACGCATCAGCTTCCAAACTTCTTCTGCTATTCGCCTCGTTAGTTACTTGTTCGCTCTGAGCTCCGTAGCCGTTTAATCCTTTCGGCATCTTTATATAAGTCATCCCATATCGTTCCCGCCTCGTTGCTCTCCCGACGTTTGGATTCCTTCGCAATCCTCCCGCTGGCACGTCAATCACTTTTGCCCGACTCCTTGAATTGTTCGATTCCTTAAAAGATGTCTTCTCGTCAACTCTGCGCCAGTGGAGTGTCTACCTTGGTATTCTTAGGGGATTAAACGGGTGCGGCGTTTTCATCCGCACGACTCATGATTTCCTTAAGTCTTTTATTAGTGTCTCGCACTGTTGGCTTCTTGTAAAATTCAGCTGACCGCTTCGGTGGTGGTTCCATAACAGGTTTCGGTGGTGGTTCCATAACAGGTTTCGGTGATGGTTCCATAACAGATTTCGGCGGCCTCTTCATAATTTCTTCAAGTTTTTTGTTAGCGTTTCGCACTGCTGGATTCTTGTAAAATTCAGCTGACCGCGTCGGTGGTGGTTTGATGACATATTTCGGCGGCCTCTTCATAATTTCTTCAAGTATTTTTCTAGCTTCTTCCCTTTTCTTGATCCTCATCTTCTGAGCTAAACTTATCGTTGGTACCACACTTGGATCCACTTGGTGATTTGGTGTCGATTTTTGTGGAGTAAACGCATTTGTAAGGGGATTATTTGTCTTTGGCCCAACATTCTCGGGTAGGGTGGTGGCATCGCGCTTCAAGATGCTGGGAAGTTTGTTTAGAGCCTTATTTAAATCGTCTCTCAGTTTCGAGGCGACAGCTGTTGGTACGACTACATGCCTCTCTTCCTCATCAGAGTAGATGATGTTGTCAGTTGGAGTAGATTGGCTGTTCAATGAAGCAGTACCCTTTGAATCCGATGAATTGGTATGACTTGAACTTGAAACTTCGCTGAGACCAACAAACAGCGTAGCCGCACAAATGAGTAGAAATGAGCGGAGCAGCATCGGGGGTCTTGAAGAGGCGCTAGTGTAGTTACGAGGAAAATGAGAAATGAACTGATTAATTACTGAGATACTTTACCTTCACGTTGCTGTTTCTATCGTTCCCTTGTGTGCATAATCATAGTTTACATGTATTATAATGCAGCGTAGAGCTAGTGTCGTACATCCCTGAATTTCTCTTTTCACCACAAGACGTTTTATTTTACGTCCTGTGTGTAACTTAATTGTCTAACAATGTAGAGTCGTCGCAGTTTTGTTATGGAAAAGTAATTTTATCGGAGTCTCTCGTCAGTCATCGGCACTAGTTGTTACAGAATCTGTCCTAAGGAATAATCAAACTTGATAGTAATGCGCACGTTAGGAAATGCATTCAAAGAAAACGAAAACATTCTGTATTGAGATAGAGACTACCTCATAGTTTAAAAGTCAACGGCATGATTTATGTGCTGATCAAAGCAGGCGTTTCTGCTCGAGCCCTAGCATTTCTGAGCAGCACATCCCAAATAGTTGATTGTCGGCTCATTCTGTGCTTACTTTTAATACGTCTATCCACCCCTCTGACGACTAAAGCTTTTCTGAAACAAGGCACAATTGAACGACCTGAACTATCCAAACACGAGCGACTTTTTGTCGCTGTCATACTGCATAGCGCCTCCGTGCATAAATCCTGCCTGGAGTAAAAATATTGTAGGAAAAACCTGCTATGGACCTACAAACCTGCTGATTAATCTCTTACGCAAAAAAAGGCGGGACCTATTCTTTTAAGACGTCGATCTTATGGTCTCTGTTGACGATCTACAAGTGGGATGATCCTGCTCTCTGTCTGAGATGATCAAGAATGGTATACCTTCGTTTGATCATCAGATCAATCAATTGTGGTCTCTCTAGGCCATGTAATGTATGTCGATCGTATGAATAGAGATGAATGCCATACATGCGTTGTGTGTACTCCGTTGTTTGCGTTTTTTACGAAATTCTAGTTAGCAGCCGAACGGATTTTGTACATAAAAATGCGCACATACACGTGCGTGAAAAGCGAAAAAACGGGAACCAACTGTCGCTTACAGAAAATAGGCAAGTCATTTGTGTGTGTGTTGGTACCAATGCAGGAGCTTAATACCGGTAATAAGCTCTGGAGTGCCTTTAGTCATCACGGAATCTTCGCTTAATCAAGCGTTGGCGAAAGGCTAAAAGCATGTAAAATTAGTTGCAGAGTTGCAGCCACCGTATGTACTGGAATATTCGAGGCTTGCTTTGCTTAATTTTGCTCATCAGAGCGTTGCAATGAATTTCGATTATGTGTTGCAGTAGTCGGTACCTACCGGTTATTTATTCGTATTTAAGACGATTTCGACTCGGTCCAAACTTGCATTCGCGAAGCGATGCCAACTGTATAGCAACACATGGTTTCAATATGGTGTCAGACAGTATGTCTTGCGTCAAAAAAAATCTAGCATCTATTGGCCGTCCTTAACTTTTTTGCGCACGAATTGTCATTGACTATCAATGTGCTGGTGACTTTGTAAAATCAAATCCCTGTCTGGTGCAATCGGACCTTGGCTGCCTCCCAACTCTCAATTGGATACTCCTCAACTTTGAGCTCGTGCAATAAAACCTTGAGCCACACTGCCCCCTGTGTTGCTTCCAACAGTGACATGCAATCTGCTTTAGTAGATGAAAGTGCCACTGGCCACTGCTTCTTGCTTCTCCAGCCAAAACATCCATTGCTCATGACAAACACATAGTTTGTCGTGCTTCGGCGGTACTCGATGGCACACATTTTCATTAGCATTCAAACAACGTTGTAGCACTTCAAGCATTCAAACAACGTTGTAGCACTTCATCAATTTCCCGCAAAATCACAAGTCCATATACCTGGGCGACTCTAAAGCACCGCAGTACTTGTGTAAGAGCTTATTATGTGATAAACTGGATCAGCTGCAACTTGGCTCAATTCTCCCGCATGTCGGGACAAGTGGCAACCATGAAATACATGATGTACTTTGGTAACTCACATTGCCCATTATGGTATCGCTTAAAAAACAATCCTCACACTTGATTTTTGCGAGCCTTAGTCTTCGATCTCGAGAGGTCTTACTAAGTTTGCCGCATCGCAACCTGACATAACTCGATATCCTGATTGATTTTTATTTTGAGAAAATCTTTAACACGCTGAGGTTAGTCATCTCGATAAGTTTTCTAAGTGCACGCTTTGTTAATAGTAAATTTGTATCATCGCGACTTGCGATGTTTAAGTCGTTCACGTAAAGCACCACAAAGACTATGCCGACATATTTGCCTTTGCAATAACCATATGGTCGGACTTGCTTTTGGTGAGACCCATCGTATCATAAATTCTCAAGTGATCGATTTCTCATGCATGGCCAATGATTGAGGCCGTAATGCGAACGCTTGGACTTTCGCACAGACCCGGTCATTGGGGTAAGCAAAGCCTTATGGTTGATGTAGAGCGCATTAGTAAACGCGATCTTGACATTCATTTGGTGAAGGATACATTCATTCTTTACAGCCGTACTGAGCACAATTCGAATCAACAAGTACTTGCCTCCGGCGAAAGATTTTCCTCATGGTCAACACCATACTGCGACAAAATGTTTTTGCCACAAGTCATGCTTTGTAGCGCTCGATTCTACAATTTGGTTTTCCTCTAAGACCTATTGATAACAATCGTTTTTGTCCCCTTGGTAGATGCACAATATCCTACGCCTCATTCATATGCAGAGAATCGGGCTCAAAGTCACACGAATTTTTTCAATCGCACGAGTCATCGCATCCCATTGCCGACTAGTATGTCGTAGGCATGTATGTCACTCGTGGTGTATTCCGCTTCGAATCTCCAGCGGTCAATGCTCATTGCAGAAACTACACTCGTCCATATAAATGAAGATGCCATTTGAGTTTAGACGTTTCGGATACTTCTTCAAGCGACTGGCTTCAAAACTGTCGATTGACGCGGAGATAAAGTCATTGTACTCGCCACTATAAACGCTTCAGTCAGACGGAGTAGTCCAGCGCATATATCGGACGCTCGTTGATTTCGCATGGTACATGATGGAGCACGGTGGGATGTCCCAGGTCGGTTATGATGAAGCTGTTATGACTACAATGTTTCTATGCGTTTTTTTTTACTCTTATGACAATTTGCTTCTAGCAAGATGCGACAAAGCAGCCAAATTAACAGTAAGTTTTGACTACTGCTATATCTAATAAACGACGCAATAAAGAGACAAGTCTTCGATAAATACGTTTGTCACTAAACTTTGGTGTCTGCATGAATCCGTAAACATTGCTACGCGCAACTTCAAAAATCTCACTCGTTTGTTCAAGTGAAGACTTTTGAAAGCGTGTGCAAGTTTGTTTGGGCACGTTTGTTGCAAAACTTTCGCGATGTTAAATCGAAACCAGTCGCTCGATTTCTTCTAGTAATAGTATAAAGTTCGTCGTGTCCATTATAACGAAGTCTGAGGTGCGAGAGGTACTAGTTGTTCCCCACTCAGGTATATAACTGATCCGCATAGCAGCCAGGTAAAGCAAGTGCAGCGGGGTTGCTGTTGCTTTTTGATTAGAAAGAGCTAAGCTGTGACGGGTCACACGGCACCTTGCACAGAGGAAGCTTGACCTCCAAGAGTATACA